GGATCCAGAGATGATCCCTTTCCCTTTACAGTCTAGAGTATGGAGTATCCAGATTGAAATGGTCACTAACATGCTATTTGGTGAAAAATTTAAGTTGCTAAATTGAAATTAGGGTAAAGTACAAAAAACTACCTCAACTATTGGTCTCACGACACTTTCATACCTCATCTTTTTAAAATGACAATGTCATACCTCATCTTACAAATTTGTGCTAATGCCATACATCCGTCAGTTTTTCTGTTAAGTGCTGACGTGACTTGGCTTAAATAGTGACGTGGCTTAAAAAAATTAAAATAAAAAATAAAAAATTAATTAAATATTAAAAACTAAAAAAATTAAAATCATTTAATATTTTTTTTACATGGGGGCCCACCCTCTTTCCCCCTTTCGTTTTTCCCAAATCCGATCCACCCCCTTTATTCCCCATCCACCCCCTTTATCCCTTCTCTCATCTGCAACCCCACCCACCTTTCTCTCATCTGCAACTCGCACTCACCCTCCCTTCTCTCTTCTTCATTGTCGACTTCATCCATCATCCACCAACGACCATCACCTTCTTCCCCATTCTAATTGACGACATCAAAGTCTCCGATCTCTGGCACACCAACCTCATCCCTCTCCGGGTACCCACTCCCTCCATTGATCTCTTCCCCTTCCTTACCAAACTACCCATATAGGTTCGAATACTGCTGCAAATCCTTGACAGCCTTGTCGCCCCACGATTACCAAGTAATCGACTTCGTCGTCGGGTTTGCAGAAGTTGAGGATCACCTCTGCCACCTCCCTCTGCTCCCGCAGCCCAGCACCATCTTCAAGCCCAGCAAAACGCAGCATCAATCCTGCGCCTACCATCGCTGCCGAGTCTCTCGTGAATACAACTTAGGTTTTTTTTTTTTTTGGGGGGGGTGGGGGGGGGGGATAAATGATTTTGCTTTGTTTGGTTGCTCGGAAAATGTGGGAGAAAGGAAATGAATTTTTTTGATATTCTGAGGGTTCCATTTTCTTAGAAAAGTGAGGTAAACTAGAAGATGGATTTTTGAACTTTTGTTAATGATGTGTTCTCAGGATTGGTGGGTGCTTTGTTTTTGATGCATGCATGTAGGTTAGAATTAGAGAGAGCGGCGGAGGAAGAGAAGAAAGGCACCTGGTGGGAATAGGAGTGGTTGGTTTGGGGTGGGATCTGGATTTGGGTTAAGGGAAGACGGCAACCTCATCGGCCCCAACCTTGATAGCTTTCCCTCTCTCATTTTCTCCTTGACAGCTTCGGAGACGGCAACGATAGCGGATCGGCGGTGGGCAATAAAGTGGGAGAGGGAAGCGTGTCGGAGCTTGCAGGTAGATTCGAGAAAGGAGGGCGGATGAAAAAATCCACGTGGGTTTGAGGGTTATGGGCACGGCGAGAGAGAGAAGTGGGGAGGAAGGAGACTACGGTGGAGAGGAGAAGGAGATGCGAGAGAGAGAGGAGAGGGAGGGTGGTGGAGAAAGGTTGAGGGGACGGGTGAAAAGGGGTTTTGGGGATGCAGAGAAGAGAGAGGCGAGAGAGAAGGGAGAGAGAGAGAGATTTAATATAATTTTTTTAATTTTTAATTATTAAAATATATATTTAATTATATTTTAATCCAGTTGGATTAGTGATTGACCTCTGTATCTAGCCACGTCAGCACTTAACAGAAAAACTGACGAAGGTATGACATTGACACAAATTCGTAAGATGAGGTATGACATTGTCATTTTAAAAAAAATGAGGTATGAAAGTGTCGTAAGATTAATAGTTGAGGTAATTTTTTGTACTTTACCTTTAAAATTAATTCTCAAAAGGGGCGTTTTGATAGATTTTCTCGATTTTAGGTGACAAATGTAATTTGGCAGGAGGGGTGACAATTTAATAGAAAAATTAATGAAAAGAGTTTGAAAACTTTGAGTTTTAACGATAAGGAAAAAATAAATGGTAAAGTATATAGTAACAGAATTGACTTTTTACTGTAAAAATATGATTTTTCGTTAAAAATGAACAATACCGCGTAGTTTTCGTTAAAACTCTCCAATTTAAAAGTATTCATATATTTTAGCTTCGCACAGAGAGAGAGAGTGAGCAGTGAAAGAAAAGTTTTGAAGATGCCGATTACTTCAACGATGGTCGGAGCCCTATTGGGTTTGGGCACCCAGATGTACTCCAACGCCCTCCGCAAGCTCCCTTACATGCGCCGTAAATTTCATCTCTCTCTCTCTATCTCTTTCAATTTTTCGTTTCATTTCTCAGGTGATTGAATTGACTCATGAACCCTAACCCCCCAATTTGTCTAATGATCCGATTCAGATCCTTGGGAGCACGTTCTGGGCATGGGATTGGGCGCAGTTTTTGTTAACCAGCTCGTCAAATGGGACGAACAGCTCAAGGTGGACCTCGATAAGATGCTCGACAAGGCCAAGGCCGCCAACGAACGCCGTTACATAGGTAAACATTTCCGACCCAATTTAACAATTGGTTTATTTCTCAATTTCTCATGATTCAAGATTGTATCTTTCGACAACCCAACAATCCCATTTGTGTTTTGGCGTCTCAATTTTTGAGCTTGATTTTGATAAGTTCATTTTTTAGATGATTTGCTAAATTTCGAAACACGCTATGATTAATCTTAGAACCCCATGTGTCGTTTGATGGAACAGAATACTGTTTTCAGATGGTATTTGCCTGTAATTGTGGTATGGATATTGTGGGAATGCTGAATTAAAACGTTTTAGGTGAAATTTTGTTGGATATAAACTTATTGTCACTCTTTCTTTTTTCTTTTCCTGTCCCTCCTTGCTCTCTAGCTCAAGGTTGGTTCATTAAAAATGTGGGATCTTTATAGAAATGTGAATTAAGAAGACAATTTTGATATTCCTAATCAGGAAATCCCAGTCCTTGTGATACGGGGCTACCTATCTCTGAACGTGATGCCAAGGTCGTATTGGCCTATCAGTCTACTAGATAATCTTACTGTTTATAAATTCTGTAGTATTTTTTTTCTTCTTTAAATTAGCTTTACTTTTGTTTTACGGTAAGGATGATTGAGAAGAATCATTTTTTTTTCTTCCTTTTATTACAGTCATCTAATCCATCGTGTGTCTTGTTATATGCTTTAAAGGCAAAGACTAAAGAATTTGTGCATGCAGTCCCTAATTAGTTTGTCATGTAACTGTTGGGTGTTCCTCTTAATTTCCTATCTTATATGGTGAGCTGAAAAATTGGGATCGTTTTGAATCATCAAACTGATATTAGATCTGAAATATTGTCAGTGAATCATTTTCCATTTGTTGACCCCAACATTTACCCCGCCCCTAACTGACAAACTATGAAGAAGGATACTATTAATAAGCAAATTTTATTTTTTCTGAATTGTTAAAATGATTATGGGTCAAAACAAACTTTTGTGAGGGAATGTACTGATCCTTGGGATTATTTATATTTTAGGAGTTCTTCTTTTGCTAATGGTTTGGATTCTGGTTTGGTCCCTACTTTAAGCTGTGTTGTACTCTACTAGACTATGGTTGAATGCTTTGAATTTACATTAGGCCATTTTTAATTTACTTTATGCCCTCGTGTTACCCCTGCTTTCAACTCCCTTCATCCCTTCTAGCTTTCCTCTAATTAAATTGGGGGATATTACTATAAGAAAATCCTCAAGCACTGTCCCCATCGAATGATTTTTTTTCCCTTCATGGTCTTCCATATCTTTTGTCTGTCAGATCCCTTCATCATTTATGTTTCAGTTTATCTTAAGCTTTAAGTTCTCAATTATATCCCTATGGCTCCAGACTTACTAAGCACCCCTAGGATTACTTGCTTTCGGAAGTATAAAAGATATGATTACTTGCTTTCGGAAGTATAAAAGATATTCCTTTTTGGTAATATAAAAGATAATCTACTCATCACTGAATAAATGGTACAGTGTACAGTTCTGAATGTGGAAGTGATCTGGCATGGAAAACTTGATAGCAAATGTTTTCTCCAACCAAGCCATTACAGTTTGTGGATTTTGTTGGGACAAGCTTTCGTTCTTGTATCTTCTGGTTTGATAAGTAAAAATATGAGGAAATGCCAAGGGCGTGTAACTTATTGCATACTTGGTGTTACACTAGAATTTGAATTGCTTTAGCAGTTTTGTGTGTGTGTTTTTTCTTTTTGGGTGCATAAGTAGTCTCTAGCATTAACAGTTCTCCTTGGTTGGTCGATTATAATTTTTTTTCCCATTAATTGACTTTTATGATTGAATTAATTTTATTGGTATTCCTTTCTTTTTATCATTCTTGTATAGTTCAGGAAGTAAGACGAAGACAGTGTTTTGTGATTTAATCTGTGCAAGCATATCGTATGGTTTTTTTCCCCTGCTTAATATTTCTCCTCGATCTGCAGATGAAGACGATGATTAGCTCGCGTCTCAATGTGTTGTGGCATTTTCAGAAAGGCTCCATGTTCTACGAGACGGTTTAGGCCTTAAAGTTTTAGGCACTTTTTGTTTTGAAATTAATGCTGATATGTTTGCAAGGCTGCTGTAAAACTTTGCCAATTTTCTGATCTTTTTGTGAAGCATAAGCTTTGAAATACTTTCATATTGCAAAGCTGAACGGCGTTTCTTTAATAACAAACGGAATGAATTCAGTTGTTCTCCTAGCTGCAAGTACAAATCCGTCTTTTGCGGATCCTTCGAATTGGTTGCAACGGTTCTCTTTCTTGTTTGTAAAGTGGTTTGGTTATATATTTCCTTTGTGAAGTTTGATCACGCACAAACCTGAATGAATCCGTCTTTTAGTTAGAGTTTTTAGGAACAGTTGGACCAACTCGTGTTTGTTTCTAGGTTTTTGTTCTAATGTGTCAACTGTGACGAAAAGATACTAGTTCCACAACCATTCACTTTCCGTTTTGACAAGGCTATATTTTAAATTACTCTAATCTACGAGATTCGGGATTAGAAGTTCTGTACAAAGGGGCAGGTACGTTGCCCTGCCCGACCGGGGGAATTCAAACTCGACGGTTGATTCACAGGTGATAATATAAACTTTCACAAAACAATCTTATAATATTGCCTCAAGCAAAAACCCTATTCGCATCAATGGCACCCTGCAACAAAATGCTGCATTACAGCTGCTAGCCCAAACCAAAACCAAACCAAATGAATGGAAACGCGACTGAATTGGTCCTAGTTACTCTCTGAGACGGGGTGGTATATTTGTATTAACAACGAAGTTTCATCAATCTTCTGAAATATGGTTCACTACTTATGTGTAAGAATCTAAATTCGTCTTCTCAAACTCCACAGACCGACGATTAAGCACATGTAGTAGTTGATCACACGCTTGTCGTGACGAAGGCCTCTCTGCCGGGCTGGTTTTTGTGCACTGCAGTGCAATTTCAAGAACCTGGAACGTGGCGTTTTCTTCTCCGGACAAGAGTGGTTTCAGTGCAGGGTCTATCAACTCTTCACGAGTAGAATCCTGCATTTCAATATGCATCTCGACCCATCTCACCATGTCCATCTCCACGCCGAAAGATGAATCTGTCGGCATTCTCCCGCTTACAAGCTCCATTAGCACAATCCCCATGCTGTAGACATCACTCTTTTCTGTTGCCTTGAGTGAATAAGCATACTCTGAAATCATATGAAATTACAGTTAGAATCAAACGCATAGATCATTCATGTCAAAATAAAACTCTAAATTCGGTATCCGAAGTAATTCAAAGCATAACTGATTAATACCTGGTGCTATGTAGCCGTAGGATCCAGCGAACCATGTATTAGATTCTGTATTAGACTCGTAGTTCTCATTAAGTGTCTTGGCAAGGCCGAAATCCCCAAGATGTGCCTCCATATTTGAATCTAGCAAAATATTGCTCGACTTAATGTCCCTATGGATGATCTTTGGCACGCAGTCATGGTGGAGATACTCCACTCCTTGAGCTAATCCAACCGCAATCTTTAGCCGTGCCTCCCAATCAAGGCTTTTCTTCTTCTTGTTACTTTGCTCTTGGTGTATCCAATCATACACACTTCCGTTCTCCATGTACTCGTATATTAACAGATTGGATCCTGCTCCTTTGTTGCTACAGTACCCCATTAACTTCGCCAGATGCCGGTGTCTTATCCTCCCGAGTGTCTTAATCTCCCTCGTGAAGGTTTTGTTCGCCATAAGATCATCTTTATACAAAATCTTCTTGACTGCCACGGTTTCTCTGTTTCGCAGTTCAGCTTTGTAGATTACTCCTGACCCTCCTGAGCCAATTACAAACTCGTTGCTCAGATTCTTTGTGGCGTCCATAATGTCTTTCCATTTGATATCTGGCTTGACAGAACCATTTGAGAAAAGCAGTCTTCGCTGAGCATGGGAAGAACTGGACGAGCACAAGAAGTTCATTTCACTGGCTTTTTGAAAAGCTTCTTGCTTGTGTTTCAGGAGAGAAGCAGCTCCGAATATCAGTAGAGCAATTGCTGATAGAGTACATATTGCAGCAATGGCTACCACTGCCAATTCTGTTGGATCGGACTGCTGCTTTCTGCCAATGCAGCTTCCAAGAGGGCTTCCACAAAGATGCAAGTTTCCCGCAAAAGCCTCAGCCGGCCAGTGCGAGAGTTGCTTGCTCAACTTTCCTTGCAGATTGTTGTAAGACAGATTAAGCTTTCCCAAGCTAATCATACCACCAACTGGGGAAGGGACTTCGCCAATTAGTTGATTGTGAGATAGATCAAGCACTTCAAGTTTTGACAGAGTCCCAATAGAGGCCGGAATCTGACCACTCAAATTGTTGTAACTGAGGTCTAAAATGCTCTGAAGATTTTGGAGTTGTCCAAGCTCATAAGGTAAGTCACCATCAAATCTGTTCTGCGAGAGCCGAAGCTCATACAGCTTGCCTAGTTTCCCAATGGCAGGAGGGATTGGACCTGAAAAATGGTTGTGGTCGAGGTTTAGGACATTAAGCGATTCCAGGTTACCAATCTCAGCAGGGAGGATTCCATTGAGAGAATTCTCACTCATAGAAAGCACTAGCAGTTTAGAACAATTGAACAATTCACTCGGAAGAGACCCGGTGAAGCGATTTGAGGACAGCTTCAGCTCTCCTAACTGAGGTAAACCTCCAAACCACCGCGGAACTGTGCCTGAAAGAAGGTTGTCGTTCAAGTCAATGTGGGACAGTTTCTTGCACGATGAAAGCTCGTCCGGTATTGATCCTGTAAGCGAATTTCCGGACACATCTAGCAGTGATAGCTCACTGATATTCCCCAATGTGTGTGGGATTTTTCCAGTAAACTGATTGTTCCCTAATCTCAACCTCTGGAGAGATTTCGAATTTCCGAGCTGGGAAGGAATCTCATGATCAAATGCATTGTCAGTGACATCAAACGAAAGAAACGAACTCGAGCTACACAATGCAGCAATGCTTCCATTCAACTTGTTTCCCGATAAATTCACTCTAGTCAAATTCACCATATTAGCCAATGTATCAGGAAGATTACCTTCAAGTGAGTTGTTGTACAGCATGAACTGCTCCACAGCTCCAAGGGACCCGAAAGTTATCGGTATCCCGCCAGATAAACGGTTATCCGCCAAATCAAGAATAGTTAGCTTGTGACAGTTCCCCAGTGTAGCGGGAATCTGACCCACCAACTCATTTTGCCTGATATGAAGTAAGTTCAAATCTTTGAGCCTCCCAATAGTAACCGGGATCTTCCCGCTGAACCGGTTTCCGAAAAAATCGATCATCTGCAAGCTCGAACAGTTGCCAATCTCCATTGGGATTTCTCCAGAGAGCTGATTGTCGTAGAGATACAGAATCTCGAGCTCCCCAAGCATTCCAATCTCGCTAGGCAGAGGGCCCACGAAGTTGTTGTGGTACAGAATAAGTGACTGCAGATTGCTGAGGTTTGATATCAGCGGAGAAATCGAACCCACCAAGCTGTTGTTGTGGAGCAACAGATCGGTCAACTCTACTAGTCCATAAATCTCATCTGGGATTGACCCGTTGATCAAGTTATTGGACAAGTCTAGCTGCTTCATTGATCGGCATTGGCTTAATTCTGCAGGGATCTCGCCGACAAGTCCCGAACCAGAAATCATTAAGAGCTCCAAACTTGTGTTGGAACATAGATTTCTTGGTATGACACCGGAAAGACTGTTGTTTGATAAAACTAAGGTTGCCAGCTGAGACATGGTGCCAAATTCGGCCGGAATACCTCCTGTGAGCTTGTTCACCGATAAATCAAGACTCTGAAGATTTCCCAGTTGAGATATGGACTTTGGTATTGGACCTTCAAGTTGGTTCCCCATGAAATTCATGTATCCGAGTTGACTCAATTCACCGAGTTGACTCGGGATTTGGCTGGTGAGGCTGTTGTTTCCCAAGTTCAGGAGCTGGAGGTTACCGAGACGGCCGAGCTCCGCGGGGATTGTTCCGTTGAGGGTATTGTTGGCAGCTGTGAAGATAGTGAGGCTGGAGCAGTTCCCCAACTCAGCAGGAATCAGACCTTCGAGTTGATTGAGCTGCAGGATTAAGTTCTCGAGTAGGCCGAGTCGGCCGAGTTGGGGAGGTATTGGACCGTTGAGGCTGCATGAGGCCAAACCAAGCGTGACCAAATTGACAAGATTGCCAAAAGTGGCGGGAATGGATCCAGTGAGTCCATTGTCGCCGATTCTCATCACTCGGAGACTCGTCAGCGAGCCGAGATGAGTCGGGATGTCCCCAATGAGCTGGTTTGAAAAGAGAAGCAAAGATTCCAAGGACGTGAGGTTAGAGAGGGTTGGTGGGATGGGACCCGAGAGGCGGTTAGAAGAGAGATCAAGGTGGAGCAGGTTTTGCAAACTACCGAGTGAGGGCGATATCGACCCGGCGAGTGACGAGCCGGAAAGGTTGAGCCCTACCACTTGGACCGAGTTGTCCAGCGAGTCAAGCGAACAAGTCACACCTCTCCAAGTACAGAAATTTGGGTCGCTTTCGGACCAGCCATGCAAAACATTTTCTGGGTCTCGCACAATTGCCCTCTTCACCTCCAAAAGCACACTCAAAGTTGTATTGCCATCGAGCTTCCCCTCGCAGAACATAAACCCTAATGAAAGATGCAGAAACAGAGCAAGAAAAAGTGCCAAAATTGCATCTCTTACTAAAGCCATTTTTCTCAGAACCAAAACAGAGCAGCTCGAAGCTAGATGATGAACTGGTTGCAATCTACCGTTTCATTGATGGGTAAGTGTAAAGCTTGCATCTTTAGTTTGGGTGGTTGAAAGTTGGTCTTGGAGTTTGAGTCCTTGCACGTGCAAATGTGCATGGAAGATTGAATTGGGCGGTAATTGCATGCACTGGAAAATTGAGTTTTCTTTTTTCTTGCAGGAGTGGGTTTATGATGGAGGCCTAAAAATGAGTGCAAATCTAGAGAGAGAAAGAGATGGGAGAGAGAGAATAAATGAGGCTACAAGTGTCTTATCAGCTGTACTGCAACTGCAAGCTGCAAATTCCTATCAATGTGAAAACAACACAAGTCTTAAATAATGGGAAAAAGTTGGATTGAGAATTGAGAAGGTCAAACTAGGTCAGAGAAACACCAAGAGAATATTTTTATATTTAAGAAAAATGGCTTTATTATCCAATATAAATGTGACTGGGTACACAAAGGTCAGAGTGTTTATGCAATTTGCAGTGAAAGAAAAAGAAAACAGAAGAAAAAACAGATTGACGGTGAAGATATGGGCTTACACGGGAGGAGATACAGTGGTTGGGTGACCGACAAAGGACGATGTTTGTGGGTTTCACAAACTGGTGTATTAGCTCAAAAATGACTCAGTCCCTACTCCGAAAGTGAGCGGTTAAATTTCTAAATTTTAATCAACCAAACTATGAAGAATATATAATATTTATGCACTTGAAAGTTGCAAGCTTTACAAAGTCAACAGAGTTCCCCGAAACCCTAGTCATTCCCTACGTAACCCAATTAACTTACTTCTAGTTCCATCCTACTCTTTATATATATAATTTAATGATTAATTAATCATGTTTTGGTAGCTTAAGGGTTAGATGTATGATAGAAATGTAATACCATATACTTTATGTCATGCTTATTGGGTTTGAGATACCAAATCCTCATGTCCTTTTGTCCATTCAATAATCATAGTTGTTTGATATATAAGCTTGATTGGTTGCATGTAATATACTAAACCCTATTTTTACTCCAATTTGTGTGTATTATTTGTTTTGTTTGCCCACTCAATAATCATAGTTGTTTGATAATGATTTCTCAATACTTGTACTTGTCATTGATACGGATTTTTATAAATTTGGAAAGAAATTATTATGTGGTACTTGAACAAAGCTACATGACGTAACTAATGAAGAAAATTAAGGTTTTATCTTAAAATTAATTGTTGATACGAAGGTAGCCTACATAAGCACATATAAGGTTCTTTAACTTTTTTTTATACGAAACGATACTATGCATCCTCAAAATCAATTCATGTGTTATAGTATGAGTGAATGACGAGTTTATAAATACTTTACAAAGATTAACCACATAGTCGTGTTTCATTATTGTTTGCCCTTTTTTCTAGCTTTCGCGACTCTTTGGAGAAAACCTCTTTCAGAACATTATCTTAATTATTAGTTAATCAGTATAGCGTCATGAATAGTCTTCTTCATATAGTAGGCCATGCTCTTCCAGACTTCCATGCACATTTACATCAATAATTTCATCAAGTTGAAAATAAAACCAAAAACGCAGTTGTCAGTTTATACGAAAGTGTATATTACTTAGAAGTTGATAAGATGTGTTTATTTGGTCAGCATGCAACGACTCAATACACATTCTTCTTCCAGCCACAAAAGCTGCTGATATCTTTTGTATAACTGACACGGTGTTTTGGTCTATTGTGCAGCGTTTGCGATTATTTATCTGTCTGCGATAAAGTCTGATTCAAAGCAAGCTCACATTTTTTTTGTTTTCACCTTAACCTCCAATAACTCATGGTAATTGATAACATTCAAACTCCATTCATTAAATATATTTACTGATGTATAAAATATACAAGCAAGAATACCATGCATGTGAACTTTTTCCCCTCTGTTACCTCCATCAACCTCTTAAAAGATCGAGTGCTATTTTATTGACATGTGTACAACTAATAGTTGTTGCATGCATGGAGTCACCTACGTGGTAATTAAGTTCGTGTTCTATCAGACAGTTCATTTCTTATATATTAATCTAAATGAGACAATATTACTTTCTAATATATTCTTATAAAATGAGATTTTATAGTATACTCCAAGGTATCTTAAACTTTAGAGTTTTAGGCCGTAAATTCTTTGCCAATAATACAACAATATTTAACGACTAAAAACTCAAATTATAGGATACCTCAAAGCGTAAGATAATTTTTTTTTTTTTTTCCTAGTAAAAGCATTGCTAGTTTTGTTGTTAACTTGCCAGGCTGATTGTTACCGTTGATGCCGACGGACTGTTGCTGCATGGTGTGAGCCTCAAACAGCATCTACTCTTAACCATGTTGGAAAATTTAGCAATTGGTGTGTATTGTAGGTCAGGATATTTTTTGGTATTTTATGTCATAAGATTTTCTAGTAAGATATATAATCAGTGTTACGTTGCTTTCTTATTATTTATTAAGGTTTACAATTGATTTCCCCTTTCTTAATAAAAAAAAAAATACACTCTGTAATAAAAGAATGAAATCTTGATAAGATTTTGTCGTTTGGATATGTAGACATCTTGAAATATAGAAACTCGGACAAGATATATTATTATTATTATTATTATTGTCAAATGATAAATTTTATTCAATCAAGTCAAATTAATAAGTTTACATTCTCAGTAAGAATATTAAAAAAAAAAAAAAAAAAAATGCGACCAATACAATCCCAAATGGGCCTGGACTGATCACTGATAAAAGTCTAGCTTGAATTTCACAACAAGTATGTTGTCCTGGCTTCACTAAATTAAGAGAAAATGATCGTTTTGCTTATCAATCAAATGTTAAAGTTTAAACCCGTGATCGCATGCTGAGGTAATACATACAAAAAAATAGGCTTAATTACTATATCTGCAATGGACTATAAATTACGTAAAGATCAGAAGAATATTAACTTTTCACTCGATTAATTATTATTTCTAAATTAAGCAAGCCTGGATCTGCATGCCAATATTCTTCACAGATTAGTATTAATTATAAAGTAATCTATATTGTATTTGTGCATACGCTAGAATCTTGACTAGGAGGGCGAAAGCTTGGACGAATTAACGAGTGGTTAGACAATTACAAAATGGTCTTGTACAATTTATATGCTTATATTCTTTGTCCAAGAGAATACGACAGAGACGATGATACTTAATAGACTACTTAAACCCATTTTCACCTGATTCACAATATATCTTCTTTGTTGACTCGTAATATTATATGATCAATATTTGATTAATATCCGATTGCAAAATTTGTACACTATTGCAAAATATGGGTTAGGCCAATTGGCTTAAGCAGTGTAACCTCTCTTTCACACTAAGTTGAAATTCTCATTTCGTGTAAATTTTAGAACAGGTATCTGTCGATTCCCCCTTTCCCCCAAAAAACTTGTAAGAAGCTGACAATTTCCCTATGAACTTTAATTTTAGTCATTTACTCTCATGAACTTTATAATTGGCCAATTTATGCCTGAACTTTAATTTTAGCTGATTGCTCCTGAACTTTTATAATTGCCAATTTTCCCACTTAACTTTATAATTGGCCAATTTCTCCATGAACTCTAATTTTAGCAGATTACCTCCTAAACTTTTATAATTGGCAATTTCCCCCAAACTTTAATTTTATAATTGCAAAAAGGTGATTTCATCGCTAATGTGGACAACATATTGTTTCTCTTTTTCTCTTCTCTTTTGCAAGTTCACTCTTTACACTTTTTGTTTGAATTTTAGGGTTTAAGGGGAAATTACAGTTGAGGGGAAAAATTGGTTAATTATAAAAGTTCAAAGGGGTAATTGGCTAAAACTAAAATTCAAGAAGAAATTGGCCAATTATAAAAGTTTAGGAGGATAGAATTAAAGTTCATGGAGAAATTAGCAGCTCCTTGCAAGTTCAGAAAAAAAAAAATACGCCTATACCTCATTTTAGAATGTTGTATTGCCAAAATTGTGCATTGCTTCATTGCTTGTATAATTGCAAGCATCCGTTGAAGTCTACTTTCTGGTAACATGATTCAAACTTTCAAGCCTTTTGCAAATTTATGTGAAAATATTTGACATGCAAATTAAATGTCAAATGATGAGGATGGAACAAATGAGGGGTAAGTATGAACATGCATGATAAAGGGACTTATATCATTATTTTAAGGATTTGAAGTAGACGAGCTTAGCTTTGTCTGATTGAGCTTAGCTTTTGTTCTACTTCAAACGTACATAAATCCCGGATTGAGATTCTCTCGATCATACTCTGGAGCCCAATTGATTAATCTGGATCGTTTAATTTAAATTTTGTGGTTCTTATTAGCTCATCTCATTGACTCACTTCATAAACAATCTCTCTTTCCAAAACCTATATATCTTTCTTTTAAACAGTCTGTATTGCTCAATCTGTAGGGTCTGAAGTGTAAAATCCAGAGAGAATCTCAATCCATAAATCCCGACATCACTCCACACTTTCGAGCGTTCCATATTGGATTGGATCTATCTTACTTATACCTCAACAATTGAACAGTTTTTCTGCAACTTTTTTATGATATTAGTGGCAATATAATTGGTTAATTTAACCATAAACAATGTGGTTTTAACATGATCAAAAGCATTTAATGAATTGTGCTGCCTGCACCTCACACACAATCTTTCTCCAATGTCCAAATATCTCTCTCTTGAACGATCCATATTGCTAAGTCCATAAACTCCACAGTGTGAGATTCGGAGAGAATCTCAACACCACTCGAAACTTTTCGAGCATTCAATATTGGATTTGATCTTTCTCAATTTTATCGCAACAAATGAACAGTTTTTTCTGCAACTTTTTTATGCTATTAGTGCCAATATATTTGGTTAATTTAACCATAAACAATGGGATTTTAACATCATAAGCATTTCATGAATTGTGCTAGGTAACTGTGATACTCACCAACTTAAGAAATTTGGGGTCATAGTAAGGCAAAACAAAAAGTGTTATGGACGAGGGGTTGGGCCAAACGCCAAGGGAAGGTCGCCACCCTGTGGGATTAGGGTCTTCTTCACCTACAAGGCTAATTTATTATAAGGAAAACTAATGAAAATGATTTGAAAACTTTGAGTTTTAATGATAAAGACAAAATAAAGGGTAAAATGAATAGTACCAGATTTGACTTTTTAGTGTAAAAATGTGGTTTTTCGTTAAAGTAAACAGTATCATGGGCTTTTCATTAAAACTCCCTTTATATGTCGATTTGTTTTTTTGTTGCCACCTACCCATAGTGGATGGGGCGTCAACAAAAATGTTCATTCCGAGTTAAGAGTAAGTTGGCCTACCCTATAGCGTAACATTTCGAGTTAAGAGTTCAAGATATGCAAAGTTTTGGATTCCACGGTGATTTTCTGGGCATTGGTCTTCATCTGCAAGCTAAATTCATCTCAATTGATCATAGTGATTTGCTTACCTACACATAGTTGGTATGGTGCCCTTAAATTACCTTCAAAGCTTGGGTTTTGACTTAATCTCATCATACAATCAATCACTTTAATGCCCAACTTAATCATAAGCTCACGCTACTAGGCTTGGCAATCATAAAGTTTAATGTAACTCCTATAAAGTAGGGTGTCATCACACTATTCCCCGATGTGGGGCTCCAACCACTTAATATGTAAACAGTGCAAAAGAGGTTTAATGTGTAAACGGTGCAAAAAAAGTAATTAGACAAACCCAAGTTTTAACCCTTTGCCTCTGCGATTTGTGAGTAATATGGAGACGACGGACCAAAAACGTGATCCCTGCCCTTCAAGAAAGAGCTAACTGGAGCACTTTAGCTAACATTAACTTAGTTTTTATCTTATCTTTTCTTGTCAAACCTTTTCTATCAATATTTTTTTTCTTTGCTTTCAAACTCATTTTTAATATATATTTTTTTAATTTTGACAGAAATGGATCTGAAAATTTTGTCGTTGGAGCACAATGATTCTTGGACCTTGGTTTGAACGGGTTTGGCCCTAAAAACTTTGAGTTAATTCATTTGAAGCCATAATTGGGCTTAGGTTTTGTGACCCAACTTACTCTATGTGGAGGCCAACTTTCTTTTCAGCCTGAAGTGCAAACCGATTTACTACCAATTTGTGCAGGCTTTATTTTATTTAATCTTAAGAACACATAACTTTGCACATATGAGTTATGATAATGTTTCCATCCCGTTACATTCAAGTTCAAATTCTTTTATTTTACTTTTTATAAATCATCCTAGTTTAGAATATTGGTTTGTGAAAGAGTTACCGAACTTTTCCTTATTTTGAAAGAAAACAGCTAGTAAAAGTGAAAATTCTAATTGTAGTTAAAAATCGTCTCAAAATCCAATAAAAATCATATGTATCAGGATGAAACCATATCATGCTGACACGCGGCATCACATTAGTTCATTGAACAATGAAGAAATATTATTGCATTAGGTTTTGTGAAAGTCAATGTTTTTCAAACTAAATAATTAAAGCAATCATTGTCAAGCTCTACATACATGCTAGCATGTCATCTCCATTTGCAGGGGGTGTTTCCCACGTAGTCCTCAACTAATTAATGATTAACCTAATTGTTGTTCCAATTTGATCCTCTAATCACCAATACCATATGCAATATATATATACACACACACACATACATACAAAGTTTGTCAACACGCTTTCATTGGAAGGCAAAGCAGCTAGCGTAGTTTTTCAACCTTGGGCATATAGTCTGTACACTTCTGCAAAAGAAATATGAATTCCATAGTTTCCTTGCTCTTAGTTCTTCTTCTTGTTGTTCAATTAAATGCTTCTTCATCTTACCCAGAACACAATCACGATCGCCATGATGAAGAAACAGATGAGTCCTGGGAGGGAGCCACAACTCTAACTCTAACACTTCCAACAATATCAGACGACTTGCCCTTTGGAGAGTTTCTTTCCAATTCCTACTATCACAAGAGTTGTCCAGACCTTGAAGGTATTATCAGTAGGAAGGTGAAGCAATGGCTTAAGGAGGATTACAGCCTAGCAGCTGCCGTCATGAGGTTGCACTTCCATGACTGTGCCATCAGGGTAAGAATATGACTTAACCTTCATATTATATATTAATTATCAACTAATTCTACTTAGACACAGAAAACTAACCACATTATTGATCATCGCCTTTAATAGAGGTTGGCACCCCAACATTTTATGTATGTATATGTTGTACATGACTCATAATATTATTTGAAGAATGGATTAGTAATGTAGTCAATTTTGTGTCTCTAAATTATTACATTAGTTTTTTGAAGCTTGGTATTTGATTTCTTTTAATCACAATTATAATGAATTGAAACACATGTAGGGATGTGATGCCTCCATCTTATTAAACCATGAAGGAAGTGAGAGGGAAGGCAAGGCCAGCAAGACACTGAGAGGGTTTGAAGTGATTGATGATATCAAGGCAGAGGTTGAGAAGAAGTGCCCAAAAATAGTTTCTTGTGCAGACATTTTGACTGCGGCTGCAAGAGATGCTACTGTTCAAGTTGGAGGTCCATATTGGGCAGTCCCCTATGGGAGGAAAGATGGAAGAGTTTCGATTGCTAAGGAAACTGAGATGGTTCCCATGGGTCACGAAGACATAACTAGTTTACTTGAGAATTTTCAATCACAGGGCTTGAATGTGGTTGACTTGGTTGTTCTCTCAGGTGAACCATCTAGTCCGCTTGCATTTCAATCACATATGTATTTTCATTCAATTAATTTAACATGTTATGTTGTCACACTGTCAATTTAGACCTCACATTACATACATGTTTTATTGCCACACTATTACTTTGGACAACACATTAAAACATGAACCAAACCTAATACTAAGAATTTAGATTGACAGTCTGACAACATAATATTCAAATTTGTGTGATAACAAAAAATGCTAAGTTTTCCTACAACTCGAACAAAAATCTGGTTGCTTTTATTGACATAAAAGGTTTTCATCTGTAGGGGCACACACCATAGGAAGGTCTTCATGTGAATCCGTACAACACAGGCTCTTTAACTTCAGTGGAACTGGCAAACCTGATCCATCCCTTGATGCGCAGTACTTGAGCTATTTGGAAAGAAAATGTAGATGGGCATCAGACTATGCTGATCTTGATGCTGTAACTCCACATAAATTTGACACTGCATACTACATGAATCTGCAGAAGAATATGGGACTTTTATCCACAGATCAAATGTTGTATTCTGATCCAAGGACTAAATCTCTTGTCAGTGCTTTTGCTTCCCAGCCGTCAGTCTTCCACTACCAGTTTGGAATATCCATGGCCAAACTAGGGAACGTTCAAGTCCTCACGGGTCAAAATGAAGGCGAAATTCGAACCAATTGCAACTTTGTCAACTCTTATTAAGACCTTTAATTATAATAAGAAACAGTCTCAAATGCTTACCATGTTTTGCTTAATTAACCATATGATATAAATGAATTTAATCATTTGTTCGCTCATGTTCAATGTCCTTTCTTCTCTCTCTACAAGATATTGTGCTTAGCATATCTCAAGAAAGAAGAACTTAATTAAGTGTATTTGGTTTGTTTTATATCTCTAGTCCCTCGATCATATATTTAGAAAGATTGATATATAGGTAGATAACTATACACAAGCGGTCAAATCTTCTCATGCATTAAAAGACTAAAATAAAACAACCTCATTTGATATATTTGGCTGATAAGCCCGGTCAGCAGCCAAGCCAGTTTCAAATGTTGTCTTCCCGCTCTCCTCGATTGCAACACACTTCGATTACAACTCAAAATCCTCAACAAATTGAGTCTGCGAGATAATCCAACCTTCTATCATTATCACATGTAGCTTACAAGACGACCCAAACCCTAATTTGATGGACAAACAATGGGTTTATGAGAAAGAGGCTCTTTAGTCTCGCAAGGCCTGTTTTTTATTTTCCTTTTTTCCTTCTCCTATTGGCTGGGTAGTGGTCACAGTATGAGAAACTTTATATGGTTCTTGAAAAAAAATGCAATAAAAGAAAAGAAAAGAAGGGCTCTGTATTAATTGAATCATCCTCGACCTAAATAACAAGCAATCTTTGACACCTTTATCCTCTAGGGTTTAGCAAGCATTTCTGAGTCTCTGACTCATGCTCTGTGGGCTCTATTTTGTCCTCTTCCCAAGGAACTATGGGGTTGTTTGCAGGCGCGCCCTCACTGTGTCAGAAAGGTCAAACCAAGCAAACTGTCCCTTTATCAGGCAAATAAAAGAAAAAGCAAACTGTCCCGTTAATAACATCTTACATCTAATCCAAATTCATTTTTAATTTATCTTAAACTTCATAAACTATGAGTTAAATCATACTTTTAGTTATCTATATTTATGTATAATATATATTGAAATGAATATGTTGTAATGCAGAAGCCAGAAAGATTACATTTGATGTTTTGTTTTGTTTATTTGTTCATTTCTTAAAGAAATGAATCATCCTCAAAGACATGGGAAAGTAGTCCACAAACATCTTGCTTTCCCCTTTTTATTTTGGACGGTGCTATTCACATACCTCTTTTTACTTTCCACACATTCTATGTTAATTTATGTTCTTTTATCATCTTTAATTTATTCAACTCGATAGTCAAAAATTAAGAGGTGTGTGTGGAAGATAAAAAGAAGTGTGTGGATACACCATCCTTTGTTTGTTAGGTCTCTCTCTCATTTAAACTTTCACAGATATAAACCCTACAAGGATTTCAAATCTTGTACCATTTCTTTTTCTTTTCCATCTTGAGCTATGAGCAGCATTAGTCTACAAATCCAAACCTTCATTTCATCACCAACCTAGAAGCTGCCAACTCTAGAACTTGCTGAATGATTTGAATACAAGCAAAAAATCGTCTTGCATGGCTAGTAATGCAAAATCATCTACCACCACTATTACAACCCTCCTCTTCTTTCTTCTCATCACATTTCAAATCACCGTGGCTCAAAAGAAGCATAGCTTGCCAATCCCAACTATCAGTAGTACTTCCTCGAGATCACTTGGAGTTGGAGTCATCACTAAGAAAAATGCTATTGTGGAATCTTCTACAAGAAGACCGTCACACGGCATCATCAATTCAAAGGATGATCACGAGTTTACAGGCGAATCGGCACGAAGGAGAGGACTAGAGTTTCGGATTCGTCGTGGGAGGCAGCCAATCCCATGGAAAGAAAACATGTTCAGAGCCGGTGCACATGAAGTTCCAAGTGGTCCGAATCCCATTTCAAATAGGTGAGGAGTAATATTGAGGAAGCTAGCATAACAAACGTGATCAAAGTAGATATATATGATCAAGAGAAAGAAATTTAATAAAAACAAAGAGCATATAGTCTGTGATTTTCTCCTTCTTTGTGGCCTGTCTTTTCTGCCATTTAATTTATATGTCGCTGCTGTAATGTCATTATAGCTTAATGATCATATGTTATTTTTAATTTATTCCATAGCATATGTTAGATATTTGGAACTTTCAGACAATCATTTTGCCATTATAAGTAGGATGTATATGATCATATTCAAGTAGTAATGGTCTTCATGGTCATCATCATTAAGCTATTTTTGTTTTCTGCACAATTGTCTTCTCTCTTGCCACCCACATTCCCTTTTCTTTTGGATGTACATAATAAAAGAAATGTGGTTGATTAATTATTGTTCAAAAACGTAATCTAGCGTTGCCTATCAAATAATTATTAGTATTTTGCTCTTTTCCCGCTTCGAATGGATTCATGCATATAATAATAAATAACACTAGGATGAAGCAACCATCATCGATTACTAATTGGAAGAATGAATATGGAATGAACTACATAGGACTAGGACAAAATGTTTCTTATTTGAAGAATTTTTTTTTGGGTTTTCCCTTTTCTTTTTTGAAAAAAAAAATACAAGCATGTTTGTAGTTGAGGCAGCTGATGTGGGGTTTGCTTTTTTGCTTTGTATCAGTTGTCAAAAGAGAAAAAAGGTAAGAAAAAATAATTGGTTTTTGCCTTTTGAGAATGCTTATGTGAGTGGATTATATGTCATTTTATTCGCTAGAGCTAGCTACACATAACTATTTTGTTCCCCTGTTGTGGATAAACACAGAGGAGGGACATAATGATTCACAAATTGCGATGGGGTTTGAGGCTTTTATTTGAGAGACTAGACTTCACTGCAAATATATGCAATAATTAAAGGGAAAATTAAAAGGAAAGTAAAGGTCCCCAAAACCTCAGATCCTTTTTGTGGGGATTTTAGAGATTCTCTAATTACATCCGTTTGTCGTACATTGTGCGATTATAAATTACTGTAAATTTTTTTATTTAAAATTGAATATAAATACTACCTGACAAAAACTGATCACATGATATACGATAAATAAATGTAATTGAAAGATCATCCGGATCCTCACTCCCCAAAACCCCCATTGTTTTGCGTGTAAAGTTACACAGACCTGGCATCCAAAGCAATGGTGAAGAACGAAGTAAGGTTTCTCCTTAAGTTTAGGGTAATATCCCTAAATAACCCTTGTTGCTTTATTGGAACTACATCGATACCCTTTATTAGTCTCTGATAGTCTTTTCCTTTTAAAAGCCGAAGCTGCTGAACCAAAACCATGAAAGGGTGGTTTTCATTGTCACGCACCTCATGCAGTTCTCCTCTTCTACTTGCTCTCGTTTGCTTAGAGCAACTTCACCGTGTGGAGTAGCCCCAATAACAAGCCCCAAAACAATGGGCAGTAGCCCGAGCAACACCCTCCATCATATCCCGGCTATGGCGCATGAGCGGCCTAAGCAACAGGCCCTGCGAGAGTTGCTGGTCCGAGAGTCCAAGGTGGGTATGATGCAACGCTGACGTCAGGGCGATGCCAGCCCGGTTTTAATATTTTTTTAGTTAGGCACGTGCATTACAAGCGCGCCTAGGGGCACGTCCTCGACAAGTTTCATATGTTGCGGCCGACGGCTCAGGTTGCACAATGTTACCGTTGGATGACACGTGGTAGATCCTTGTCCGTTGGATTTCCAACGAAAAAAAATTCAAACTATCATTAATTTCAGTCGTTGGATCTGAGATCAACGGTCCACGTTATTCGGCTTTATAAATTAAGTTTAAATTTCTGAAATATTATCATTGTGCCACGTGGCACAATCTGGAGTGTTGGAATTCAAAATTTTTTTAATCCGACAGCAGAGATTAATTATGTGAATAAAAATTTTAAAAAAATGTAAAAAATTAATAAAAATCAGAAGAAAAAATTTTGAAAAATTAAAAAAAATGATTTTACTTTTCTATAAATACCTTCTCATTATCTTCTATTTTACACCATAATTTCATATTTTCGCAACTACTTTCAACCACATTCCTATTTTTCTCTCAAAGTTTCAATCCAATTTTTTTCAACAAAATGACTACTGGTGCAGGTACGAATTGGACACTTGTTGAAGATGTTGCGTTGTGTACTAGCTGGATTGAAGTTACTCATGATTCTCTTGCAGGTAATGAGATGCAATTGCAAGAAATGTGGAGTCTTATTCATACCAATTTTCTTGAGAAAATTGGTGGGAAAAGAACCAAAGAATCGATGTTCAGTAGTTGGAAGATAATTAGCCAATCATTTAGTATGTGGAGAGACGTTTTGGCACAAGCTAGTAGTAATCTTCGAAGTGAGGAAAATTTAGCGGATCAGGTAACAATATATTATTTATTTGTTTGTACAATACCCAAATTTACATTATAATTATTTGTTTGTATTATTTATTTGTTAGCTACTTTGATTATAATTATTTGTTTGTATTATTTATTTGTTGCCTACTTTCATTATAATTATTTGTTTGTATTATTTATTTGTTACCTACTTTCATTATAATTATTTCTTCTCCTGCATTGTGTAGGAATTTCAAGCACAAGCTTGGTATAATGTCAAAGCCAAAAGCAAAAACAAATCATTCAACCAGTGGGAATGTTGGAATATTGTCAAAGATTGTCCTAAATTCAGAGTTGTGTCTGTCGATCCAGAATTTTTCATGAACAGCACCCCTCTACACTCTACACTCGATCATGCCTCGCATGTTCATGAAAATAACGCAGAAGAAGTGCCCGAAACACCCCCCTGAACAAGCGTCGGGGTCGACCCGTTATCCAATTAGGCCTCAAGGTAAGAAGGCTTCAAAGAGAAAAGGGAGTGCTTCCAAGAATGATTATGCAAAGTATATGGAAGAACTTGCTCGCCAAGGTGAATTGATTTTGGTGCGGGAAATGGTGAAATTTGAGGCTAAAAAGGCTAGAGAGGAGATCATCCTAGCACCACAAATTGGTTAAGTGGTGATGAATAGAGTACTTTTTGTAATCAGCGCTCATAATTTTCCAAACACTTCGAGTTGTAATTTATTATTTATTGAATAGAGTACTTTGTGTTGATTCCAATTTATTGAATTTAGTACTTTATTTAAAGTGAGAGTAAATTTATTTAATTTGGTAATTTATTTATACTAAGAGAATTTTTATTCAAATGACATAAACACATCAAATAAAATTACATAAACATACCAAATAATATATATAAAAAAAAAAAACTCACTAAATGAACTAAAAAAAAACACACCAAATAAAATTAAATAAATATACCAAATAAAAACAAACACACTAAATGAACTTAAGTATCTTGAGCTTGTTTCAATTCCCACTGGTGCTCTATCAAGTCAATTTGCCGGGCACTGTGCATATATGGCCTTTGAAGCGCAGTATATCGTTGAATGAGCCTTTCATTGTAACGTCCATCCCTTTCTAATGGCTCGTGTTGCACAGGTTCTTCGGTGGCATCATGAGCACAATTTATTTATGTTCTGGAATTATTCATCATGTTTGGCTCATATTCATCAACGGCATCATAATCGTACTCATTTTCCACAATCATGTTGTGAAGAATGAGACACGTCATCATGATGGATCGAAGTGACTCTACATCAAACATTTTGGCAGCACCCCTGACAATCGCCCATCGAGCTTGGAGGATATCAAAACCACGCTCCACATCCTTCATGCACCCCTCTTGACAGCTTGCAAAACGTTTTTCCTTTGAACTTTGCAGATGTGACACTGTTTTGACAAATGTTGACCACCTTGGGTAAATGCCGTCTATTAGGTAGTATGGTCCATCGTACTTATGTCCGTTGACCCAATATGTGACTTTTGGTGCATTTCCTTGCAGGACATCGTTGAACACTGGGGATTGGGGAAGGACATTGAGGTCATTTTGAGCTCCCGGAACCCCGAAAAATGCGTGCCAAATCCATGTATCAAAAGATGCCACCATCTCCAAAATTATACTTTTTGCTCATTTTCTGTCCCCATAAGCGCGCCTTGCCATACACTTGGACAGTTTTTCCAGGTCCAGTGTATACAGTCGATGATTCCAATCATCCTAAGAAAACCTCGCATTTCACCCTTTTTCAGAAGCCTTTTCAAGTCCATGTCAGTAGGTTTCCGAAGGTACTCTGCGGTGTAGATAGATTCGATTGCTCTGCAAAACCTCATCAGGGACTCAAGAATGGTTGATTTCCTCATCCTCACTATCTCATCCACTTGGCCTGCGGATGCTCCATATGCAAGCATCTGCAAAGCAGCAATAACTTTTTGCTCAGGAATGAGACCCATAACACCAAAAGCATCATTCTTTTGCACAAAGTAAGAATCATGGTTGCAAACATCAATTATGATTTTGTTGAACAAATGTCGTTCCATCTAAAACGATGTCTAAAGTACATATCAGGGAATGCATTATTACAGACAAAATAATCGTCTAAGAATTCTATACCTCGTCGTTGCTTGCTTTTATCAAGGTTTCCAAAATGGCTGGCCTGCAGATCTAACCCACAGCTTGGATGACTCAACGGAATGTGAGGCTCTGCCTATTCTTACTTCGTCATCTCTCCTTTTACGTTCCTCATCCTCTTCTCTCTCATTTTGGGCCACTTGGAGATTGAACATTCCTTCTAATTCGTTAAACAATTCTTCCTCTTACTGATCGATTTCCCACATCATCCTTGAAGAAGAAGACATTGTAAGAAAGAAGCAGAAACTATGAATAATGATACATATTTTGATTTTGGTGAAAAAGGGAGTAGAAAATATGAATAATGATAGAGATCTTCAGAAAATTGGTGTGAGATTTCTGAGGATGGATGGTGGATTATATGGAGGATTCAAAAAAGATTAGTTGTAGATAATGCCACATGGCATACCGTCATTCGTTAAAAATCTGATCAAAATTTATTCTCAAAGATTGTAAACAAATTGTGACACGTGACGCAACGTGATTGGTTAAAAATATTATTAGAAATCTATCATCAACTATTCTGAAAAGGTAACGACACGTGGCACGACAACATTGGATAAAAATCTTCTCGAAATCCATCACCAATAATTGTCTTTTCGGATAATGACACGTGGCGCAACGAAAACGATTAAAAATCTTATCCGAAATTACAAATTAAATTATTTTGTATTATCTTATAAATAAATAAAATATTAATATTTTTTGCCTATTGTCAGGGCTATTCAGTGTAGGGGTCGAGATTCAAATGGCTGTTACTATTCATTAAGGGCAGTTACTGTTCACTAGATAGATTAAATAGTGAATAACCTGGGGGTGCCTTTCCCACGGTGGAACTGCTCTTGTGAGTGAAGCTGCTTGGCACTTTGGCAATAAGGTTACATGATCTTCAATAATCATGGAAAAGATTGACCAAACTCTGCATGTTGCTCAAAATTTCATAAAATGTGGTCATGCATGTGGTCCATGTTACATATGAAACTTCATTTTTTTTTCATATTTGTTTTTATGTGATGAACCACTACGAGATCTCAAGTTTGAACTAACTACTCATAAATTATCATTTAACTATCAGTTTATTGTTACCTTTGAACGAAATGTTAGACGAGGTAATTCTAAGTTCAAATCTCCTTGCTCTTCCATCAAAACTACTCAAAAATTAATCAATTCTAAATTTGTTCAATGGATGGATATGGTTGGGCTTAGTTCTATTTCTCTGTGCAATGCAGATGATCTCTTAATCTCTTTTTGTCATTTGGCTATTTTATATATGTGAACGAGAAATATATAATGGAATGTGGGAAAATATCTGCAATGGTATATTCCATCATCCTAAAGAACCCTTTGAGAAAGCATGCTTAAGTCAGACAAAGACACATAATTGTTTCCTAATGATTCTTCCCATCTCTCTCTCTCTCTCTCTCTCTCTGAGATAGTGTCATTGTCTAGAGGAGAAAGATTCGGCGGTTCCCCTTTGGAATCAAAGCATAATTCTGCCTTCACTTTTGATTTTGAGTGAGTTCTTAATTATCACATTTTTTATCACTTTAATAAGAAAACTTTTGTGTCCAAGACTCAAGCAACCCTTACCCTATATATACACTTATATATATATATATATATATATATATATATATGTATGTGTGTGTGTACCCCTGCCCTATGCAAAAATCTTGGGTATAAAAGACAGATAGAAAAATCACCCACCAAAGATAACACCAGCAGTCGAGTCATCCAATAAAGAGATGAAAAGAATTGGTCGTCTCCTTTGATCAAAGTCATCAAAGTCTTTTCTTACCTTTCTTTATTACAAGCAATTCCTTCTTTCAAAGGAGACAAGCAATTCTTTTCATCTCTTTATTGGATGACTTGACTGCTGGTGTTACTTTGGTGGGTGATTTTTCCATCTTTGAGTTGGCAAGTCATCCCTGCCCTATGGTCTTTCTACCGAAAAGGTTCTCTCTTGCAACCATTCCACCAAAGTAAACGAGTGCTTTACTTTTTTAATACATGACAAAAAAAGGTTCTCTCTTGCAAACATTTCATCAAATTAAGCGAGTGGTTCACTTTTTTGCAAGTGACAAATATTAATTAGTTGTTGACACCATTTAGACTATAAAATGATTGCGAGAGAATCTCTCATTATACAGAGCTATAAACACGAAATGAACATTGAATAGTCACAGTTTAATTCCTTGGTTCTAAAATAGACAATTCAGAAAAATAATGATAATTACCATTGTCACTTTACTAAATTTCACAATCATTTTATGAAGTACTTTCTTTGTTACACTTGGTGTTAAGGGAGACCAAAGGCAAAGAGTGAGGATTCAAACTTTGGCCTAAGTGTGCGGTAAATACTCTTAAACAACTGAGATACAGACCTCGACACAAGTACTATTTTCAGACTCACTATCCACCTGTTTGTATCTTTACTAAGGAAATAAAAACAAAACTCCTCGGAAGGCAAAGACCAACAATCGCGCCTTCTTATTTCTCCTCACAGTAGCGTTGCTTTGCGTTTGAGCCCATAAATGCCTTCGGCATGGTGAGCATTAAGTTTGCTACACTCGAGCATCACTGTAGAAAGAAATCCCAAGCTTTGCACATTTGTAAAATTTTCGTGAGAGCATTTTTCCACCCTTCACACTTGTCAGTGCATGTAAAACAGTCATTCCTGTGATCCAAACCATCACTTTTGGAATCAAGGCATTCCTAATTTGGCCTGTCATCCTGATCTCCCTTAAACCCTACGGATTAGAAGAAAATTAGAGGTCAATAAAATGGGGAGAATGGCACGAAGAATGAGAGCACAAGAGAAGTAAAGAGTACGTACTTTCAGCTCTTCGCCAGCACACGGTTGAGGGGATTGTGTTACAGAATTTATCCTCGAAAAGCAGTTTACCAGACTTAATACTCCAAAGTCGTAAATTGCGGTCCTCTCGGCCTAAAAGAAAAATATATAAGAAAACGTCAAAGGCTAGAACTTGCCCAAAATAAATTGCATAAGCAATAATATTCACCTGACATGACAAATCTCTCAGATGGGTCAACTCCAAGCAGCAAACGAGTATCGGAATTCACATGCACCTCGTAAGATTGTACAGCTCCTCTTTGGATTAGCCGTTGGTGGTAAAGCTTCACCTGGAAAAACAAGAACTAATCAGAATGACATTGACCAAAATCGTTGCAGCAGCAACCTTAGAAAAAAAACCATATCTAGATGCTTTCGCCTTTTCCCTGAGGTTACTTACTACCCAGGCATCAACCCAGTTCTTTTTCTTTAAAAAAATTGGACCTCTAGTCATGGAATGCAAAATTTTAGTTGATTGCTAGATATCTGATGTGTTGAGAGGAACAGGGGAATGTATAGATGACAATGAATTCAGCTCAAGCAAGGACCGTTAAAAACATTCATGTTCTTATTAATGATTGTCAAGTGTTACATATCTAAATGCCTGTGTTACGCATAGGGATGGGCAACGGTTATGACAGGTGGGTAACTGTGGTTATTTACCCATAACTGTTTATGTTCACACCCACATAACTGTTTACCCGTTGGGTAATTGCATAAACAGTTGTATCCATACCCATAACCGTTTACCCATTTAACCATAACTTACGCAGCATAAGAAAAGATGCTAATACTTCCAAACCTGCAATTCATGCGAATCCGCCCCATAGCATCATCACTTAACTCTTTTGTTTCCTGATACTTCCAAACCTGCAATTCATAGAACACCTAAATAAAACAAAATTACAATTTCCTGCCGTCATTTGTTGCAAGTTTCCTGCTGTAACCTATACGTTGCAAGTTTCCTGCTGCAACCTATATGTTGCTGGATTCTAAACTTGGCCCTGCATGCCAAATAGAGACCCACAGAGGCTTACAGTAAAATTTTGAAAATTAAATGTATGCTATTACGTCTAATAACGATATACTATTCGTAATATAAAAAAAAGAACAAAAAAAAATTTCAGTATGAATTAGGGCACTAATCAAGCTGAAAGTAAAACCTGGAAACAAATTGGTGGAAATCATAACGTGGTAATTGGTAAACTTAACTTTAAAATCTTAAACTGAAGGCCTATATTAACATACCACAGGATGGCATGCTTGCGCCTTTTGGAATTCCTCATTGAAGTTACACCTCCAGAAAGAATGAGATTACCGCATAACTCCCTGGCCTGAAGCATCTTAGAAGTGCTTACACTTGTTCGCCTACATGAGTTGTTTGCCTACAACAATATGAATTAGAGCCAGTGTCAAGTATTTTGACAATTATGTAAATCACCGATATAAAAGCATAACAAAACAGAGAATAAGAAGCCATGGTAATCTCAGAGAAGAAACAACTACTTTGCATCTATGTGTTCAACACGTAAAACGATGCAAAATACATAAAATAAACGGGATGCCTGCCTAGAAAATCACTAGTTTAATTGCAACCTTACAACAGTGGACACAAATCTATGATTAAGGTCATTAATATGCTAACCAAAGCAAAGGAAATTATCATTACAAGCACATGATCTTGCGGCTATCGCACTCATTAAACACCAACAGATTTTACTCCGCTAACCACTCCATTTATCAAAGTCCTAATATGGGAGCTGCAGTTGACAAACCAAAATAGTCATCCAGTATGACATGAAATTCTTGGCATACCATTTTGGAGTGCTAATAGCAATTCTCTAACTTTAAGGTGTAAATACTAAATACACAAAATTCTCAGCAAGCCATAAATTTTTGCGAACTAGCTTGATTCTAATCACAATTGTAAGTAACCTCTCATTAGTATACCATGAAAAACTCACTATACGTAACTAAAAAGCTTCAACAAAGCAATTGGAACACAAAAGTGAACTCCCCAACCAAAACACAAGTAGCAACAAAACATAAATTCAAGTGACAACCCATAAAAAATAGAAACATCCAGAGCAATGCCAAGCTTAAAAACAGTAAAGACAACAAAGATACAAACTTTGAAACAGGAAAAACTCCTAACAACATGCAAACCTGGAAAAGGACAAAATTTGGGTTCAAAGTTCAAATGCAGAACAACCAGCGTACCCTGGCCGGCGTCCGAGCGCTGGAAGAAGCAGAAGCAATCATACGACGACAGCAGGGATGGGGCCTTTGAGTGGGAAGTACCTGTTCTTTTCCCATCATAGTAAAACCCAGGAAGATCTGAAGAGCCCGAATTCATAATCTGATCAGTGTTTCGAAAAAAAAGGCACAAAAATAAAGCTGAAAAAGTTGAAGGGGTGAGATCTTGTAGTACCTCCTGCCGTGGTTTTGCAGAGAAAAGCAACTTTGAAGCTGGTGTGTGTTTTGTGTTGTTTAGCGCAGAAAAGGAGGGAGGGTAGTGGAAGTGTCGAAACGGTGGAGGGCTTAATGGAAATGGTCACGAGTCCCTACCAAAACCGTTGGTATCCGGGTTGCTGAGGTGGCGCTGTGGCGCAGGCAAAATGTTGGAAGATTGGAGTGAGGATCCTCATTCAGAAGATTGAATGAGCATTCGGATTCTTTTTGTTCAGAATTTTTCAATCACGTCTGTTCATTATACATTGTACAGTTAAAAATCATTATAAATTTTTTATTTAAAATTAAATATAAAAAATCTCTGACGAAAACTGACCTTATAATATACAATACCGTACATAATTGGAAGATTCCGAGATGCTCTTTGATCCGGAGAGGATCCTCATTCGGAAGATTGGACGTCCCATGTGCCTTCAAATCTTAAGGTATTCTATTAAACTGGGCTGGGCCCTGGACCAAAGGTTGTTGTTTTAGTCCACCCAAATCCAAGTTGGGTCGGGTCATCCAAATATTGAGTGATTTTCTCTAATAAAAGTGAGCATGCATAAAAGAATGGATTTGTGCATCTTTAATTTATCACATGTACGTGCAAAAAGTTGATGCTATTAACATAATTTTTTTTTTTTTATCTTTTACACATGTTGTTTAATTTTTTATCATCGAATCAAATGAATTAGAAATGATCAAATAACATAAACTAATAGAGAATGTACGAGACGTAAAAAAAGAAATACAGATAGCACCACCCCTAGAAAAATTACGGTTAATTACTCAAACTTAAAATCTTTGGACAATACGTCACTTACATAAATTTTCGTCCATAATTTTGGTATGTTTGATCACGTGACTTGCACCTACCAACTTTTTTCATGTCAATTTCATTGATTCATAACAAAATGAGGTGAAAAACAGAAACGACCAATTGTTCATCATCAATTCATTTTATCTTGGTTAACACAAACAACTGGATTAGTCAATCATCAACCTCCAAAAAGAAAATTCTAAAGATGAGCTGGGTACAGATTAGAACAAGAAGTGATGCGATAGATTAAATGATCATAACCCAACTTTTTTAGGGAATGAGAAAATTTTATTATGCTTTGATTTATAAGTTATTTTATGTGTATAAGATACTCTATAACATACTAGGTGATACACGTAGTGGTGGATGTCCATTGGAATCAAGGTGGTCCTAGGACCATCTAGATCCTGAGAAATATACATGTGAAAGTTCTTTTGACGATCCTTCAAATGTTTGGTATGGTTCTTTTTGTGTTCACTAAGTGTTTGATGTAATATCTGCTAGGCATATATATCGGCAACACTCGGGCGTCGACAACACTCGACAAATTCTCCCGATAACACTCATCAAATTGTTTCGGCATATGTCGATATCTGTTGACATGTGCGCAACATAGTTCGACTAACGACAACAAACCCAATGTTTTACGAAATGCGTCATTAGATAAACTAATTTTTTTTGTGCACTTCGCGTGACAAGCTCATATTTATATATATTTTATATCAAATTCACTTGTCTTTTCTTAGTTAGTTCCTTATATTTTTAAGCTATTTACTTTGTTTTTGTGTTTTGTAGGATTTGTCAAGCAAAGAAAAGAAAAATAGCACAAATGGGATTTTAAGTAACAAATTCGTCAAAACTACCTGTGCACGTCAGCTGACTTTGGAATTAAGTTACGGACAGCTTAGAATGAATTAGAGAAAGAGCCTTATATTTTTGGAAAGCTACAGATGTCTATTTTCTGGAGCATTTTTGCAGATTCTTAATATCATTTTTCTAGAAGAAGTTATGGCCGTTTTAACACTAAAAGGTTCCTAACAGGCTGAGCAGTTTGTAACTGACAAGAAAGCATTGAAAGCAATAAATCCAATAAAACTAGCAGCCAAAACTGATGCAATCAAGAACAAACCAGCTGACACCTTTTCAAATATCAGAGAAAAAGTGTGAAAAAAAGATAGAAAAAAAAGAAGGAAAGCAAGGAAAAAAGGCAAGGCTGCTGCGTTGGGGAAGGAAGGAAAGGAAGGAGGAAATCTTGGCATTCTCTTCTCTCGGTTCTATCTTCTCAAACTCATGTCTTTCTTTTGGTTTAATTTGAGAATTATGTGTAACTAATTTTTAGTAGTTAGAGGCTGTTTTGAAGCCCCTAATATGATTGCAAGTTTGTTATGACATTTCGTTTGAATTACTTTTACGAATAGATGAAAATTGGTTCACTACTTGTCTCATTGATGAATTCTTTATGTGTTTTCTACGGATGCATACTTAGTAAGCATATCTAGGATTCTAATGCTATGAATATGTGTATGCCTGCCCTTGTCGAATGAGGACTTACATATGTTCTAGAGTAGTACTTGTTAATTGTGATTAACATGTGAACCAATTTCTAGGATTAGTAAGACAACGCTAGTACTTACGATGCCTTGTGATGACTCAAACTCTTTTCGTTCTTAATGATTTCTACTTGTTAAATCTATGAACACACCATTCGAGATTGCATGTTAGGGACTAAATTAAGTTGAAAACGCCATTCTCTTAACATACTGCATAAGAAAGAGTAATAGGTTGAGTTCTAACATTGAGCCAACTTGAGCATTTTCATCCAAAAATGAAAGGAATTTGAATGAAATATAACATATTAACATGTTTGCATGATTATTTGGTAGTAGATAGCAATTCCCCTAACTCATTTTTCTTAATTTGTGAACTACTTAAAAATCAGTCTCTGTCTTGTTTTTGTTCGATTTAATTTAAATATCAAATCAACTCCAAAAATCCCAAAAATTTGTGTGAGTATAGCTCTGTGTGTCTAGTATATGCATATAAAATTTCGTAGACTTTAGATAAGTGTAAGTCTATCTAATAATTATTTTTCAGTGGCTAGTCAGTAGGGACAACAACCCAGTTTTTGTGACATTCTAAGTAGTTAGATAAAACAATCTTCTGCGGGAAAGATCCTTATTTTCATATGCTACAATTGATAAATCTTATTGTTAATAAGGAAAATTAATAGGACATTTGTGTGCTACTTTGTGGTGTGCTTTTAAGCCTACCAAATTTTTGGCGCCGTGTCGCCGGGGATTGTTATTTCTAATTACTTATTTTTCTATTGTTTTCTTTTCTTGTCTAATTAGTGTTTTTGTTTTTGTTTTTTTTTTTTTTTTTCAGATACTCTTGGTAGTATATGCATACTCGAAAGTCCAAGAACCAGCCCTACATTATGAGTCTTTTGCGGGAGCATGATGTGGAGGTTGTACCCCTCCAAAAACCAGCTGCCCTTGGATGATTACTCTTAGTACCGTCCGACTGCAGACGTAAAAGCAAGCGCTTATTGGGAGGCAACCCAATATTTCTATTCATTGTCTTTTATATCATTTTCAATTTTTCGTTTGTTTTTTCTAAGTTTTCTTGCATGCTAAACTGAATTATTTCTTTTCTTTGTAGGAACATTTGATTATGTCCACCCTTGGAGTTGATTGTAGAATTGAAGTTTGGGGGTCTTCGTTTGATTTTACTACAAATTGGAAAAGTTTTCAGTCCAAATGCTTTATTTTGTTTCTTACTATTTTATTTTATTTTTATTTTATACATTATTGTGTTTTATGACATTGGGGACAATGTCCAGTTTAAGTTTGGGGGTAAGGATTGAAAAAATGACCAAATTGAAAATTTTCGTCCCTTTGACTAAGAATTGGTTTAATTTGTTTCCTTGTTGTTACTTTTTGTTTTCTTAATTAGTTTTGTTTACCCTAAAAAAAAATAAAAATTAAAAAATAAAAATCCAAAAAAAAGAAAACATTCAGAAAATTTGAAAATCCAAAAATATTGTCTTGTTTTATTTATTGTTTTGAATTACATTTTTGTTAGTTTCCCGACCCAATGATATATTTGGATTGAATTTGAACTGACGGTGATCAAGAACTTAGTAAGCATGTATTGTGTGAAATTCCTTTCTCTTGTTAGCTTTGTACATGTTTAATCATCTTTGAAAAACCAAAAGCACATAGCCTTGTTGATGTGAAACTAAAGCATGATTTAAAGCTTCGTATGCGAACATAGTGACCATATACAACCTATGTGAGTTTTTGAGCCTATTGAAAATGTGTGCATTTTTCATACACTCCTATTCTTTCATGTGTGATGAACTTATGTGACTTACATCTCTAGAACTTGCGTAATGATCTTTTGAAATGTTTGTCATTGATTGCATGAACTTGAAAAGGATAGAGGCATTAGGTTTATCACCATGGCCCAAATAAGCATGTTTCCTAAAGAAAAATGATATCATTAGATTGCCAATTTGAGCCGTATATGTTGAGCCTTTTATTTCTTATCACCAGATATGTCGACCCTTATACCTTAAACATTATTCCTTACCCTTTCCAAGCTAGCTAGTGAGTAATGTGAGATTGTCTTATGAGAAATGCTTGTGAAGTGAAGGAGTTTGGCAAAAGAATAAGTGTGGGGGTAATTCATGTTTGTATTTAGTTATGTACGAAAATTGGTTCAAAAAAAAAAAAAAAAAAAAAAAAGAAGAAGAAGAAGAAGAAGAAGAAGGGAAAAAAAAAATTGTATACAAAGCAAATAAAAAGTTTAGGGGTGTGATTGGAGGTATTAGTAGAGTGGTTGGAGAGGTTGAACTCTTATAAATCTCAACAAAAGAATTGCTTGCAATGTAGCTTGGAACTTGTATTTACCTATCCTTTCATTTTTATAACCCTCTCCCTAAGCCTCATTATATCCAATAAAAGTCCTCTTGATTTTAGTGTTGCAATTATGATTGTGGAGATGAGATCTTTATGCAAGCTTATGGTGGATCTTTCACATTTGATTCTTTGAGCGAAACACGTTAAACTAAACATATGTGTGATTGAGTATATGTCCCATGAGAAGGTCACTAGTTTGCATGTGGTGTTTAAAAAAAAAAAAAAAAACTTGAAATTGCATTAGCATGGCTATGTCACACACTACACTTCATGGATGATTAAAAGGTCGTTGTTAACATTTGAATCAGGAAGATGAGCTTGGATTAACTTGTTTGGTGCTAGCTAAGGCTCTTATGATTTGTTTCCTTGAATGAAATTCCATGAGGGTCACATAGGGGGAAGCTAATGTTTTTCATGTTGCTACT